CAAAAAAAAAAAAAAAAAAATTATGTGACTGAGCCAAATTGTTTTCTTACACATAGCGTTGTCACCGGAGCTACACAATCTTACAGACGATCAAGATCTGTCTCGAACATTACGTATTGTGTGTGTGTGTGTGTGTACTTCTATTCTCTATACAATACCCACTGTGGTGAAACTGGTTTGGGGGTTGGGGGGGGGGGGTTGTTTCAATAACCATTACCAACAACCTGTGTTGAAGTAGGCGCTGCGATTGGCTGAATGAGCACTCAATAACATGCTCGGTAACTAAGGGTATTGCTTATAAAGAGACACCCAGAACACACAACACAACGCCAACAGCTTTGGTTTACAGCGAATTCTTCATCATTTTATATTGGTAAGTCCAGGATCGTCCATCCAGATGTGTTGGCAAACAAAGAAACAACATGAAAATATTTTATTTTAATGCATAAAATTACAAGAAAAAAAAGAGGGGGGGGGGGAATGTTGCTTTATTATACTAAGTGATTTTGTTAGAAATAATTAAAGATATTTTTTTTTTTACAAATTCTGCTAATTTAGATTTCAATTCGTTTTGTGGAATTTTTATTCTAAATGGAAAACGTGTCACCATAAAATGAAACTGTAAACAATATAGTGGCACTTCATTGACGCAAAAACTCAATATACGCAACTCTGGTCATAAAACTAATGTTAATGATATGTTATAAATCTAGCGCGTTTTATTAACACCTCAAGATAAGATATTAAGACATTATTATTTAAAAGTTAAAAGCCTTTAAACGCTTATTTGTTAAAACGCAAAATATTTGATTTTTTTTTTTGTTTCTTTACTTACCTTTATGTTTTTAAATTACTTAATTTTATTAATTTCCCTATTCAGATAAACACAGATCCTTCATCGACAAGTTGAGAATCATTGCTGAGGAAATGGCCCCAAATGTGTTCCTTGTCTTATGTAATAGAAATTAAAAGACGCTTATTTGCTATCAATTGAATTATTATTAAAATAATAACAAATGTTAACATTTATATAAAAAAAAGATAACAATCATAAATATTATTAAAAGATTAACAAAGCGCACATTTCATTACAAGGAAATATTTAAATTTAAAAAAAAAATAATTACCAAAATATTGATATTTCAAATACTTATTTTTTTGTAATGCACGTAAATTGTAAATTTGTAGAAGTTCTTAAGTGAAAAATACGTATTTTGATTATGGTAATAATTGAGATAACACCCGTTATTAAGCAACTTACGTTTTCTCGCTGAAACGCAGCAACACTGACAAGTGGTCTAACCATTTGTCTTTACTTTTTTACCTAGCTCTGACGCTGGTCCTTATGATGGCATATGGTGAGTACACACTAGAATAGACGATGACAATGCTTGTGTGTGTGTGTGTGTGTGTGTGTGTGTGTGTGTAGGGGATAAAGAAGAAAAGGAGGAGTTTAACACACCCCATGATGACGCGACCCGTTGTAATGCACCCCACTGTAACTCACCGCGCTAAAACGCGACCAACTATAACACAACTCGTTACAACACACCCCACTATAGCACACACTACTATAACAGACCACACTATAAAACCACTCCCTATAACACATCCAGCAATAACACACCCCACTATAACACATCCCGATATAATGCACCCCGCTATAACACAAGCCCTACTCTAACTCATCACAATCTAACACACCCCACTATAGCTCACCAGAATAACACACCACGCTATAGCACATCCTGGTATAACACATCCTGGTATAACACACCCCACTACACCATACCCCGCTAAAACAAATCCCACTATAACACACCCCACTGTAACACGACCCGCTATAACACACCCAACTGTAACACGGCCCGCTATAACACACCCGCTATAACACACCCGCTATAACACACCCGCTATAACACATCCGCTATATCACATCCTACTATAACATAGCCCGCTATAACACACCCGCTATAACACACCCGCTATAACACACCCGCTATAACACATCCGCTATATCACATCCTACTATAACATAGCCCACTATAACACACCCCACTACAACATATCCAGCTATAAAAATCCCGCTAAAACACATCTCGCATTAACATGCCCCAGGTGCTTCATTTCAGGTACTTTTTTTTTTGGGGGGGGGGGGGTCAATTCCTACACCGTCTTCTTGGATTGATTACATTCGTCAGTTCTTTCATCCGTTGAAAAGTCGTACTATTCTCACTTTCAATTAACAAACTCAACTCCTTTTCATAATAACTATAACTTTAATATCTAAGTAAATATAATAAACATCCTATCACTCCAAGGTTCCACTCAAGACTGCCGCACGACTAAAACATACGTCACAACACTGCATAGACCATACGTCACGACTCAGCATAAAAATACGTCATAAAGACAATGGCGGGAAGAGCGTTCACTAACTATAATAGTCAAGCGCGGGAAAAGCGTTCAACAACTAATGAACATAATATTGAGTCGCAACAATTACTAATGAACGCTCATACTCGACAGGGGGTGGGGCAAAACTTGGTAGGGATATTAAGTTATTTATTACTGGAGGCGCTACAGTTCATATCAATTTAAATAAAAAACCAGCAAATTCTTGGGGCGGGGGCTGCAAACGCCCCAACCTGCCCTACCCAAATGACGTGCCTGGTTTAAACGTTTGCAAAACAAAAACAAACAAAAATTACTACCATTGGCCAACCTGCGACAGTGTTATCTGCATTTGAGCAAACATGTTAAATTTATTGATACATTTTATGTCTAGGTCGGTAACAGAAATTTAATTTGAAGAAAAAAAAAATTGGATCTTTTATTCTAAGCACGAATCAGATTTGCTAGAAAACGTCCACTTCACATGGAGAAATAACAATTGAACTTTGTCCTCAGGCTTGAGCCATTCCCGTCCACAATTGTTCAGACTTTTTAAAAACGAAAGAAAACGTAAAACCTTTTAACTATTACTATATTATTTATCGGTCCGACCGAATCAACTTACTTTATTTAGTCCGTCTCTTTTGTTCAGTTTTGGGGGAAAAGCTAAACAACACATAACATCTGACGAACTGAGTTTTGATTCTGCATTGTGGTATTTGGATTGTGCCGTTAAGATTCAAGTACAAAAAAAAAATAATAATCTTTGGTAATTTCAAAAAAAAAATTATTATTTTTTAAATTATGAAGTTACCATTTAAAAAAAAAAAACAGTATAGCACATGAAATGAATTATGAATAAAAACGTCATGTAGTCCCCATGTGATTCTGATGACCTTTCTACTCTAGCGAGCGTGTCGTGAGATGTACTGGGTTAAATTTAAGATGGTCGTGGTATCCAGGATATGAAAATACGGGGCTGCTGGGGCGCCGCTCAAAAAAGGGAGTAATAAAACGTATTGTCTTTGAATGACCTCTTCTCTAATCCAAACAGAGGCTGGAGGATCGTCATCAACAACTGGAGCAACAGCAACAACGGCCGGAGTAGATACGTCAACGACTGGAGCAACCGCAACAACGACTGGCGCAGCGCCAAGTGCGACTGGATCAATCGCAACATCTGCTGGATCGGATGCAACAGGGTCTGTCACTGCAACTGGAAACCAAACATCGACGACGGCAAAAAGTAATATCAATATAGAAATGCATTTTTTTATACCTTTTCTTATACACCTTTTTATCGTGTGTGGGAATTTTAATGTTATTAATGGTATTACTTTATTAAGATATAGCTTTAATATGTATGTAAAAAAATAAGACCCCGCAATTAGGGGTGTCAAGATGACGCCCTGCAATGAAGGGCGTCAAAATAAGGCCCTGCAATGGAGGGCGTCACGATAAGGCCCTGCAATGAGGGGCGTCAAGATAAGGCCCTGCAATGAAGGGCGTCAAGATAAGGCCCTGCAATGGAGGGCGTAAAGATAAGGCCCTGCAATGAGGGGCGTAAAGGTAAGGCCCTGCAATGGAGGCTGTAAAGATAAGGCCCTGCAATGAAGGGCGTCAAGATAAGGCTCTGCAATGAAGGGCGCCAAGATAAGGCCCTGCAATGAGGGGCGTCAAGATAAGGCCCTGCAATGGAGGGTGTAAAGATAAGGCCCTGCAATGAAGGGCGTCAAGATAAGGCCCTGCAATGAAGGGCGTCAAGATAAGGCCCTGCAATGGAGGGCGTCAAGATAAGGCCCTGCAATGAGGGGCGTCAAGATAAGGCCCTGCAATGGAGGGCGTCAAGATAAGGCACTGCAATGGAGGGCGTCAAGATAAGGCCCTGCAAAGAGGGGCGTCAAGATAAGGCCCTGCAATGAGGGGTGTCAAGATGAGGCCGTACAATGAGGGGTGTCAAGATAAAGCCCTGCAATGAAGGGCATCAAGATATGGCCCTGCAATGAGGGGCGTCACGATAAGGCCCTGCAATGAAAAAAGGGGGGGGGGTGTTTAATGCATTTTATGGATTTCATGTGTATCACTCATTAACAATGATTTTCCGATGTTGTTATACACTTTTAGTATAGAACCATGTCGTAGTTCAGAACTCTAAAAAATTAATTTTACTCGCATTAATGTAGAGCGTCGAGTTATTAAAGCTTAGTTCACGTATTTCAATACTGATAACTCTCTAGGTATTGAAAAGGAAATTACACACCCCACTAGCTCACTAGTTCACCCCCCTTATTTGGGGTGCTAGTATTGAAAGGGAAATTACAGGGTAATGCAATGGGCTGGCTTGCAAAGGGAACACAAAATCCTGATAACTGCGCTAGATGTGATTCATGTCAATGACCCTTAAAACAAGTTTTTGGGAAAAAAATTAATAATCACGCAATTAAAAGGGCGGGGGGGGGGGGTGGGTGTGTGAAAATTTGACATAACATGTACACAAGTAACGCACTTTTTAAGAGTGCAATTAGTGCTCCACCCACCCACCCTTTTTTTTTTCAAGGCTTGCAACCGCACATTTTGTTCACGCCCCTGAACTATATTAATATTCTAATGGCTCACCTGATTTAACACTGCGGATTGATTTTAAAAGCTATTTCAGAAAAAATAAATGAAAACTACGCTCCAAAAGCAATTTCGAATTTTTTTTTAGGAATCTCATTTAGAGCAGTTGTCGGGAATTTTATGTTGTGAAATAAATGGCATCATATTTCCTCCATGGGATGTTTCTTACTGTAACTAATTAGACTTTTGTGACAGCAACATAGTTCATAATACATTATGTTGTCACAATTTTTAAAAAAAAAAAATTTTTTTTACTGCTAGTTCTAATTTAATTACTTCCTGCCGCTACTTCACAGATGATGTCGGTGTCTTGATCTATTCCACGGCTACACTGATTGTCTGTTCGCTGACCCACTTCATGCGATAAACATTCAATTATGAATCATCAATCTTATTAGTCTGTTTATAGTACAATGGCGTCATGAGTATTTTATTTTTATCAATTCAATATTTTCATTTGTTTTTTTATTAAAGCTAAAAATATTAATTTATTTGATTTTCTTTTATAACACAACGACTGTACAACCAAGACTTGAACCAAAACCATATTTGAATGTGGTCTGTGTTGTTATTTTAGTTGTAGTTAACGTCAGTCATATTTATTTTAACATTCTTAAAATGGCAAATTTAATTGATGAAAAAAAAATGCCTCAACTGTGAACTTCATGGCAAACCTTTGATAGTGGTTGAGTCCTTGTGTGGGTACTCAAACCTGCGAATGAAAAGGTGAGCGTGTGAATTCAAAGAAGCATCGGCTCTTTGCCCAAATACCCATTATGAATGTTTCAATAGAATGTCTCATCAATAAATATATCTATCTATATTTTTTAGGTTCAAATTTTCATTTTGATTTGATCATTTTTTTTTATTAATTTGTTTTGTGTGATGTTGCTTACAATATAGAAGTCTAAAAATACAGAAACATTTTACCATCAAAATAGATCAACCAATTTCTATAAAATTATATAGGGCATTTTAAAAAATATGTAAGATTATTCAATGATGTCAGGTAACAAGCCAACACTGTGATAACAAGGGCAGATTTAGTTACATGGCATGAATATTGAAACCCATGATTTTTAGTTTATTTTATTAATCTCCCTTGGCTATATTTATAACACTATGCAGAATTTGTTTTAAAAATTTTTGTTTAGAAATATTAAAATATAAATGACACGCTATGAATTTTTTTTTTATAGAATTTGGTTTCTTTTATATGTTGTCCAATGTTTGTGTTTGTTTCATATGTCTTTATGTCCAAAAGGTTTGAGAATGGATATTTTTTTTTTCAATGCTTATAAATAAACATTTCAGCGCGCCCTCGATTGAAATGGTTGGAGCTAATTCAGATTCATTTAATAAATATAACTTTTCAAAAGTTTTTTTAAATATGAGAATCAATTCGACAATTAAAATGGTGGAGATTAAATATTTTTTTTTCTGGAATTTATAATCATTTATTAGCTTATTTATGTTTTTAATGCAATAGCTGTGCGTGCCTCTTAATATATCCCTCCGAAAAGATACATCTCTACTAAACTCGTAGAGGTAAGTAAGGGAGTTAAAAAATATTACTCTAGTTAACCTTTAAAATTGGAGTTTTCTACCTTTACCATGGTTATATCTGTTAAAGCGTCCGTCTTCATCCTCCCCAATATTTATTTCGACTGATGAACTACTTTCGTTGATGATATACAGGAGTGTAACTGAGTTTTTGAAGCCCTTGGCCTTTTCATTTTTGGAGCCCTTTTGTTTAAAAAAAAAATAATAAAATTAGAGATTTAGCGGCGCCCGTTTGAATTGGCGCAGTCCGGCGCCCTTGGCAACTGCCCCACTGCCAAGCTGTTGTTACGCCACTGGTGCTATACAACTGGCGGGGGACCCGCCCCCCTCCCCCCAAACTCATCCTTATATGAGGAAAAATGTAGATTTATATAATAATGGTTAAAATTATATTATTCAGAGGATATCTAAACATCATCATTAATTATACTTTGTGTAATATTTATCTCGGTACCATTTATCTCTACTCATCTTTGATACCTTCGTTATGATCATAAAGGTTGGTTGAGGGAGGGTGGAGACCATAATTTGGTTAGTAAGAAGTAAATAAGTGAGGAAACAAAATATAGGAAAACCTGAGGGATAGAACGATGCGACAAAACAACTAACGTGTCGGCAAGAAGCCTACTTGAACGAAGAAACAGCAGTGAAACCGGTTTGAAGCTTGAAATAAAGACTTAGCTGAAGTGTAGAGCCCGAGAGCACATCAAGAGGACTTCAACAGACCACTAAAGCGTCATTTAATGATGGTCTATTACATTCCTCGTGCTGTGGTCTCAAAAACGGCATTTTAACAAAGTATTTGTATTTTTTTTTTCAACTTACTTTTCTCATTCACCTTTGGGATCCCTTTCCTTGAAGAGATCCCGTATCCCGATAGGATTCTTTACCTGATGGGATCCTGTTCACTGACTGGTATCCGTTCCTTGATGGGCGTCACAATCCACGTTGGGATCCCGTTATCTATCATTATCTCATTCCCTCCCCCCCCCCATTCCAGATTTAATTTAATACCCCCCCTTTATTTTTTTTTCTCAAAGAAAAACAAAACAACAGACATTTTAAAAAATGACATTTTTCTACATTCATTCCCTCCCCCCCCCCATTCCAGATTTAATTTAATACCCCCCCTTTATTTTTTTTCTCAAAGAAAAACAAAACAACAGACATTTTAAAAAATGACATTTTTCTACATGATAATGTTTTGAATATTAAAAAAAAAAAAAGAACTAAATGCAAATAACTAGACTAATTATTTATTTAATCTAAAAAGGATGCCCTGGTAGTGGCCCATTAAATAAGGAGAAAATTTAATTATGCCTAAGATAGGGAGCCCTATACAAAAATTATTCAGATAAATGCGGGAGTCAAAATGAAGAGGTTGTGCCATTAAAATCGGCAGAAAATTCCCGCGTTTGAGCCTTTTAAATTGGCTAGCATTATGTACATTTCTAGACTTTATTAACTTATAAGATTTCATCATTTTTTTTTTTAATTTTTGTTGTTGCTGGTATCCGTCCGTCACAATGTGAAGAGAGTGTAGACTTCGCACGACGAAATCCACAAGGACTGGGGTGATTCTTCTAGGGTTATAAGCTGGTTCCCTGCAGCAAATCGCCGCTCACCACGCCGATGGATAACCCAAAGGGAACATCATGTGGATGACACAGCTTGGCACCAGTGGCGGAATGTTTCATTAGATATAAGATATACTTGGAAGATATCCGGGGGGGGGGGGCATCAAACTTTAGGGTAGCCGATAACACGGGGTCTTGGGAGAACCGCTGTCAGGGGTACTTGTTTGTGTTTTCATATGAGCTGATCGAATCATGTCATTGTCATCAAATCATGTCATAGTCATCTAATAATGTCATTGTCATCAAATCATGTCATTGTCATCATATCATGTCATTGTCATCATATCATGTCATTGTCATCATATCACGCACCACCATAACGTCTTCGCTTAACCAACCCAAGAGCTTACTGTTACACATGCCGCCATGATTTTACGGCGTAACTTCTGCTTGGACCACAACTATTCCCTGGAAAGAAAATACACACATAGTCCACTATGCAGACATGCTGTCCTAGTGCCTGCCGGGTACATACCTCTCTAAAGACTTACCATGGAAGTCAGCTCTAGTTACGGATGGTACCCGAGATAATGTGTTCTACGTTTGTTGACCTGTAGCCGGCATAAATTACTTCATGAAAGGTAAACATTTTTTTTCCTGAAAGAAATTGTTTTACCTGGTCATTGTTCAAGCGGCAGTAGATCATCCAACATTGTAGAGCAATTTTTTTTAAATATTATTTTATCTAATTATAGAAGTATCAATAATTGAAAAATTTTACAAAACGCATCAAAAAAATTTTCTTACACGACATCTTTCAATACAAATGATGTTTCTGATGTTTCTGACATAGTGCCCCTTCAATACAAGTGATGTTTTTGATGTTTCTGACATAGTGCCCCTTCAATAGAAGTGATGTTTTTGATGTTTCTGACATAGTGCCCCTTCAATAAACGGGATGTTTTTGATGTTTCTGACATAGTACCCCTTCAATAGAAGTGATGTTTTTGATGTTTCTGACATAGTGCCCCTTCAATAGAAGTGATGTTTCTGATGTTTCTGACATAGTGCCCCTTCAATACAAGTGATGTTTTTGATGTTTCTGACATAGTACCCCTTCAATAGAAGTGATGTTTTTGATGTTTCTGACATAGTGCCCCTTCAATAAACGGGATGTTTTTGATGTTTCTGACATAGTGCCCCTTCAATACACGGGATGTTTCTGACATAGTGCCCCTTTCATACAAGTGATATTTCTGAGTTTTCTGACATAGAGCCCCTTCAATACAAATGATGTTTTTGATGTTTCTGGCATAGTGCCCCTTTAATACAAGGGATGTTTTTGATGTTTCTGACATAGTGCCCTTCAATACAAGTGATGTTTATGAGGTTTCTGACATAGTGGCCCTTTAAAACAATGTGGTGTTCCTGATATTTGAGCCCTTCAAAACATGTGTTATCATTGATATTTTTTGGCACTTCAAAACATGTGTTATCACTGATATTTTGGCACTTGAAAACATGTGTTATCGCTGATATTCGAGCCCTCTAAAACATTTTTGTTTAAATGTATCCGCTTTCTAAAACTTTTACATGTGTTTGAAATGCATCTCTTCTTATGTTTGTTTTGATCGACTTTCTCTTTAAGGCCGTGTTCTTTGTGTACCCGAGTCCACTTACTCCCGACAATAGTCTGTTCAAATCTGTGAGAAATTTTCTTTCTGTAAATGTCATTTAACAGAAAGGAACAACATAGACCATCAAAATTTTGATATTCAAAATAATTACGAAAAAAGTTTTTTTCCCAAAGTAAGTAATGATTTCAAAATAGTTTCAAGTTAATAGTGGAATGCTAGAATCAGCTGGCTTTTACAAATCAACTTACTATCCAACAATATGAAGTATTACAGACTACCTTATAAGCCGTGTTAAGTATTAAGGATGATATGTTATACGAAAACTTCCACATAAATTTGGAGAAAATTTTTTTTTTTTTACATCGTGACTGTTTTAAAAAAATATATATATTACATATATATCAGAACACGGGATATTTGTTGAAACGCTAGGCTCTCCGGGTGTGTCCCTCGTCTTTATTTGTAGAGCGATATCGGCCAGGGAGGTCATCTGCTATCAGTCTTGTATTCCTTTAAGCGGAACTCTACTTTGCGTTATCGTGTCGCACCCGACAAATGATTCGGGTATTTGTAGAGAGGATAAGTTCCAGTTTCGATAACACTTAAGACTTTCCCGGTACATCCGGTGAGTATTTCAATGGTAACACAGTCACCCGAGAAAATGAATGAGGAATAATATATAGTTGCTTGCAAGCATTGATACGTAGCTTTACTACAACGAGGGTCGTGTAATCTTCTGTAAACTGATTGAAAAAATATTCTTCAAATACTGAATCCATTTTAAAAGAATGTTTTCAAATTACCATCCTAGCCTCTCATCTATACCACCCTAGCTTCTCATCTATACCACCCTAGCCTCTTATCTATACCGCCCTAGCCTCTCATCTATACCACCCTAGCCTCTCATCTATACCACCCTAGCCTCTTATCTATACCACCCTAGCCTCTCATCTATACCACCCTAGCCTCTTATCTATACCACCCTAGCCTCTCATCTATACCACCCTAGCCTCTCATCTATACCACCCTAGCCTCTCATCTATACCACCCTAGCCTCTCATCTATACCACCCTAGCCTCTCATCTATACCACCCTAGCCTCTCATCTATACCACCCTAGCCTCTCATCTATACCACCCTAGCCTCTCATCTATACCACCCTAGCCTCTCATCTATACCACCCTAGCCTCTCATCTATACCACCCTAGCCTCTCATCTATACCACCCTAGCCTCTCATCTATACCACCCTAGCCTCTCATCTATACCACCCTAGCCTCTTATCTGTACCACCCTAGCCTCTCATCTATACCACCCTAGCCTCTCATCTATACCACCCTAGCCTCTCATCTATACCACCCTAGCCTCTTATCTATACCACCCTAGCCTCTTATCTATACCACCC